AACTAAAAGTGACTTTTGTTACTTTTATTAGGGGACGGATATTGAACGGGGTGTTGGTGAAATTTTAGATCATGGAGGGAGTGTCTTTGAAAATATGTCAATTTACAAGGGGTGTAGATATAATTTACCCAAAAAATTAGTGTTTACATTTTTGGTATCTGGATTAGTACTTTGTCCTATAAGATACGATATGGATACTGGAATACAACAAAATTTCAAAATATAGGATAAGAGTACGATAAAGATATGACTAATTAACATAATAATATATATTTTTATATATATAATAACAACATTAATAATAACTAATATGACAAAAACATATCCATCATTTCCTCTAAATAACAAATAAATTAGCTGCAAATCACAAAAAAAAAAAAAATCAGCAACACAGCATGACAACAAAAATCATCAACACAACATGACAATAAAAATCATCAACACATCAACAACAAAAAAATTCTAAAATATCTCAAAAATTTGAAAACTCTAACCCAATCAAATTAACAAACCAGAATAATTTAAACCTAAGTAGCAAAATCATTGCACAAAATCAAACCCAAAACATGCAAAACATAAAAGTAACAAAACCCAAAACAGAAAAGAAAACGAACCTTATAGCAACAATAGATTTGAGACTCGCAGTCAGAGGTTGGTCTTTCCTCCTCTCCTCCACTTCTCCTTGTTGCCGAAGGAGATTTGATGGAGATGGCCTTCGTTCTCCTCTTCTCTCTCTGTCGCAATTCTGTCACACAGTGGAAATGACAATGTTTCTTTCTTTTTTTTTTTTTTTTTGCTTTAGTCCCCATATTTTTTAAAATTACAAATGAAACCCCGTTGTATCCCTCTTGTATTCCAGCCATAGCTGGTTACAAAAAAAAACATTTATCCAGTGCATGACACTTCCAGAAATGTCGAACATGTGTTCGGCAGTGTCCCACGGGTATTCATGTTGGACTCGTGTTCGGCATTGCTACGGCAACCCCTTGGCAAGTTATCCGTGCCTCTTAGCTTAAACCTATGGTCCTATAACGCTATCCTTTTAGTCATAAAACCCTTGGTTCCCAATTGTTCTCAAGGATTTCAACAAGCTTTTCTTTTTGATTTCCTATAGAGCCTTAATTTCGTCCAATTAAGCCTATATTTAATCACTAAACCCCATTGCTAATTTTTCCTTAAAAAAACCTAGTATTCCATGTTTGATTGTACGGCTGCCTTAAATAGAGTTGTGTTGACCATTTTTACGTTCTTTTTTTTCCCATTTTTTTCATAGCGGTGTAAATAACCCAAGCAAACCCAAGTAATTAGGTGTGGAAGATTGACTCGGTGGGGATTAATTTCCACCCAAGCTCAGCTCGAGCGATACCGTACAAGGTTATCTTGGTCCGGTCAAGTTAAAAGAAAGAGGAGGTTTTTGCATGGATTGTAGCTTATGAAAGTTAAATACTTATGATGTGTTGCAAAGGAGAAGACCAACTACTTGTCTTCTTCTTCCATGGTGTGTAATGTGTAGTAATTGCAATGTTTGTTTGGCTCATTTATTTCTAGCCCCTTCGCTTTGAAATTTTGGAATAAAGCTATGGTGAGTTTGACTTGATTTAGTTAATCCTGAGATTGTGATTCTTTACTTGAAACAAATCATAATGTGTTTGGTAGTGGGTGCAAGACATCCATATTATGGGAATGAGTGGTTATGGCAACTTTTTGGGAATATGGTTGGAAAGGAATTAATAGGATTTTCGAAGGCAATGAAGAATCTGTGGAATTTATGTGGGATAGAATCAAGTTTTTGGCTGCTTTTTGGGCATCGACTTAAAAAAATGTGTCTTTCTTTAGGCTGTTTGTAGTTAGGTGAAGACACTCATAGTTCTTTGGTTGATGTATCCTAGTTTACAGATGTTTACAAATCTTGATCTTTATTTTTTGTTTAAAATTACAAATGCTTACACATATAGAGGCACATTATCTTGCTGAGTTCTCCAAAATATACATAATCGATAATGGTTTTATAGGGCTCATTTTATTTCAAATCCCATGTAAAGCACAATGGCACAAATTACAGAGGTTGTTCCATCATTGTGTGCCCGTTGCAGCTTTCTTTTCGCATATGGTTAAAATAGACTTGAAACTTACTCAGTTTTTTGTCTTCTCAATTTGGTTTACAGCTTTTTGTATTTGTAGCAGCCGAGTATGAAACCCCAAAAAATTCCCTGAATCAGGTGAGTTTCTTTTGTATGCTGTTGCATGTATTATTAGCTGCGAGTTCATTTAAAATATATCTTAAAAAGGATTGAATTTGAAATTTCATGATGTAATTTTGGACCCAGTCAGTTTATCTATTTTTTTTACCTATATGTCAGCAGCTGAATGATTGTGGATGCCATCCTATATTCATGTCTATGTTTTGTTAGCCAGAATTTTCCTTATGTGGAGATGGATTTGATAAATGGTATTAATTATATAGCACTATGTGGTAGGGTTTCTGCAATCTACCATGCAAATTACTACTTGGCTGCTTACATAACCTAAAATATAATGATCCATGTGCTGGTTATTTAGATTTCAGATTTTAGTCATAACTTAATACATACATATGTGGCAATAATGGTGATCTTTTGCATGTCAAATAAAACCTTAAACAAGAATTGTTTCGGCTGTTTACCAAGCAAATTATAAGTTGGTTGCTTGAATAGCCTAGAATATGTATGCGTGTGACAGGTTTTAATTATAACTTTTGGTCCTTTTCTATTGTATAGCATTGTCTTGCTCTCCTGCTGCATTGTTGAATTTATAGGGAACCCTTATTTGTTTGGCATACGACCTTTAAGCGAAGTACCATTCCTTGTTTGGGACAAAGCCTTTGAGCAGTGCAGGGTTATGATGTTTGTCAGGTGAGGTGAAGTCGCAAGGTATTGAGTGACCTCATTGAGCAACATAAACATTTGTCAAAAATGCAATGCACAGATAACAATGAGGATTACGAAAACCCTCCTTGTACTTAAGTGCGGTGGCAAATAGAACCTTGAAAAGCTATCCTAACCTTGAAAACCCTCTTGAAGTATGGTTCTTTCTGCAGAAGTGGATGGGTATGATAGTGCAGATACATGGTATGGTAGTTTCTTTGGTGTGCAGTGCTGTGAGAGTAGTCTTAATTGGTACAGTATTTTGGATCGCGATTCGTTTTTGTACTCTTTGGGTCGTTTTACAGTAACAAAAATTTATTTATATAGTCACATATAGTCAATTTTGCAGAAAAATAAAACCCCAACTCAAGATATAAATTTAAAGGGTATTAATTTAAGAGAAAGACTGTTTCTATTTGAACTTGGGCTTGTTTTTGGTTAGAATGGGAGGCTGGGAGATGTGCACTCTTTATTCAGCCCCTTCCCATTGAAACTAGAGAGGCTCTCTATATTCTCTCTGTGGTTTCGCTATTTGCTCAATTCAAAAAACCCACTGAAAGTTGATATCAAAATCAAGAGTGAAGGAGCAGATCGAGCATGACATCAAAGGATTCCTTTGCGACGAAGATTCCGACGAACTTGCAAATTGATGAAGGTCAAGAGGCAAAAGAATTTGGATTGAGATAGATATCCGAGTGAAGGTGCGAAATGTTCATTGGTATCTTCTCACAGAGTAGGGTCCTGGCAAGGATCGAAATATCGTTTCGGAGTACCGTTTCGATCAGTTTAAAACGGAACGTTTTGGAAACGCAGAAAAAATATAGAAATACATGAAAACACAAATGCAATCCATTTATTTATAAAGATAAACGTAATAATTGATTAATTGAACATGTTTATTGGATTAACATCCATTTGTGCAAGATAACATCAAGTTGGGGGAAAAAAAAGGCTTGACACGAGTAAGCAATATTATGTCTAACTTAAAGGTAATGCTATGCTTTGAGACGATAAGACGAAGAGTGATAGTTGATTGCATTTGTGCGAGTTAGGTAAAACCAGGATGGTATGCAAGATTAACTAGTTTCCATGTGGCATTGCTATCTATGCATTGTTAGTAGCCGAATACTGAAGGCTCCATCTATTATTGTAGAGTTTGGGCGAGTCTTGGCAGAATACAGATGCCCAGAGACTAATATTTTTACTTGCTTGTTTTATGTGTTTTCCCATATTAAGTAAATTGTATGGAAAGTTGCTGCCCGGAATGTGTGGAGAAAAGATACTTTGAATTACTTTGGGCAAAAAAAAAAAAAAATAATTAGAATTACTTTGGGTTATATTAAGGAACTATAGAAATCCTTGACATGCAGGGGGTTCAATATCAGTGAAAATATCCAACCTACAATTAAAATTTTGTTTCAGATAAAAAAGAGAGAATGAAACTTCAGATTCTGAAACATGTTTCATTTAACTTCCACTTAGAATATTAAAAATAAAAAAAGTTGTGATATGTAGGACATTTCTTCCAAGTTCCAACCAACAATTGGCCTGTGAAATTCTTGTTGGCATGACATTGGTGTTCCCCCATGGCCAAAAGTTGTTCCACCTTTTTTACGGAGTTTCATGTGCAGATGCTTAAGTGAATCACAGCTTGTTTTGGACTTCTTTAAAGAATCACTTCCTTGGACTTCATGAATACAAAGTTCAACAAACAAATCTAGATGCTAAAATAACTAAGAATTTCAGCAACCAAGGAATGTTACCCATGACTCATGAACAATCAGCAAGTGAAGGATCGATCGTTTTGTACCAATACTGTTGTGAGACTGGTACTTGGCGGCTCACAAGCAACATATTGACATAACTTGTCCATCGGCCCCTCTCTCTTTTCTGAAGGCCTTTCTATTCTCTTTCTAGTTTCTAGTATGGTTCCTTCATAAGACCACCGAACACCCTGCTTTCTTTCCATGTCTAAAATTTGAGTGAGTGACCATGAGCAGTTCCAGTTCCTCATATTTGTATCAGAAGACGGTCTCTGTCTGTCTGTCCCTAGAGGTTGAAAAGAAGCTTTCCAACCAACTCTCACTATGATGTGAGATGATGAAGAAAATGGCTGCTTGCATGAGGTTTGGCTCTCTTGATTGGAACCTCAAAGTACACAAATATGAATTATATGCACACTGGTTCCTTCCAAAACATGGTTTATTATCGCCCCATGCAGATGGCATGTGGCAGTATCACCTTTGTACTTTTACTTTGTTGAGGGTAGTTTTGGCACAGGAAGCTGGTAAGGTTTGGCTGAAAAAGTTTACATATGGTGGTGATATGAGAACTATGATGCAATTTATTAGATGGCTTAATCCAGGGAAATTTGGAAAGAATTTCTTGCCACTAAAATTAAGTTTGTTTGAGGCAGTCAGCTGGCAGAAGATCATTAAAATGTGTCAATTATTCCTATTATGATGGTAGATTTTGCAGCTTGCTGAGGATGGGATTTCACTGCCCAGTGAACACAATAATATAGTTTTAGGCCTCACTGCAGTGATGTAATTTCTATGTTCTCGGAGGACCTTGAATGAAAGGTTTCCTCTGCCACCTGGTCATTTGTTAACCACCGCACAGGGTTCTTTTAAAATGGTTGGGGTGATTTCGGTGATCTAGTGAGTGACATTGATTCTATGGTGGAGTTGTCGTCACACTTATCAGTAAGAAGCTGGGATCCATATCTGTTCTGTTCAATAGAAAATTAAAACCCTTTTCGAGTTTATTGTAGGGTTGCATGCTCCTGCAGACACCATCAGTAGATATATGCTGTGTTACCTTTTAGCTAATGCAGTTGCTGCTTATGAAGGTCCTCACACTTTTCTAATAAAAAGTTCCAAATGCATTGCTTGTCTGATTCTAGCAGACTATCAGACTCTCTCTCGTGAGTGTGTATGTGTTTTGCTTTCTGCAAAGATAATAAATAAAATATGAAGACCTAATAAATTACCTTAAGCTAGCAGGATTGTTTTTACCTTTCAAAATATAAATGTTTTTAACTCTAAAAGGCATGTGTTCTGCGGCAAATAAAATGAAAAATTGTGCACATGTTCTTAACTGATTTCGAAATCCTTGTTTGACAGGTGTCCCTGTGGGATGGTATTATACCCTCCAAAGAGCACGCCCAATTCTGGATTCATACCACAAACAAGTACCGTTTTATTGATCAGGTAATCCTTTTTTGTAAATTTGTTTTCCCTAATCCCTATCTTGATCTTTTTTTCCCTTTATAACGTTCCTTCCCCCGATTGTTAGATAGTTTTAAAAATAATGAGTTAGATAGTTTACACTTCTTTGTCTGTGTATAGGGAAGCAATCTCCGTGGTAAAGATTTTAACCTGACGATGCACTGGCATGTTATGCCGAAGACTGGGAAGATGTTTGCAGACAAAATTGTCCTGAGTGGTTTTCGCCTGCCTGAGGCATATAGATGAGGATGTTTCTTGTTTGCGTGACTTTGCTGTAACTTTAGTCTTCCTTTATTTAGTCATATCAAGGGGAACTAAAACAGTAAAAAAATGAAAGAGGAACAATTATGAGATCGAAAATCTTAGGGAAAAAATATTTATCGCCTTTCTGAATTAATAGATCTCCTTACAGTTTGGGAGTCTGAATTTTGCTATGGGCTTTGTGGATGATTTGTCTGTTGCTTTCTTGTAACCACCACTACCACCACCACCAACCCCAACCCCAACCCCAACCCCAACCCCAACCTTGTGAACTTGAAAGATCACCCCCTTGGACATCAATATGCCCAAGAGACTCGTAGCAACTGACAATTTTGATGTACGTTTTGTTGCAAAGCAACAAGATCTCTCCAAGCAAGACGTGTAGGTTTACTAGTATGTGTCTTCACATTATCTATTTAGAGGGTGAATTGTAGTGGATCTATTTCATACACAACATTGAATTGCACGATTCATCCAGATTTCCATGATTTGTGAACCCATTTCAGATTGGCGTCAAGAAATAATTACTTGGATAGTCGCTTTTTTGGTTTTCTGGAAAGAAAGTAAAGGACGGTTTCACTACCTGAATTTCTTTAGGCCATGGGAGCGATTTCCAGTAGAAAAAATAACCGTATGAGCTTATAACAGTGTCAATATTAGAGAAAAAATATTTAATGTAATGGTTATACCATGTGCAGTTGCCTGTCAATAACAAGAGTTTCAAGTTGACAAAATGAATTTTTACAAAATTCAATAATCATCCATCTATTTAATATTTAAAAAAAAAAAAAAAAAACCAATCTACTCCTATATCAGGGGATCACATTATGGTGAGATGCACCACACGCAGCAGTGTCTCCACACACCTGCGGTGTCCTCCTCCTAAGGTTGACAGAACAAACTTTGATTGGACTTTACCAGATAATCACCATGTTTCAGCGACGGGTAATTTTATAATACCTAAAAACAAAAAATTTGATAAATACCAAAAAATTATTATTTTTTAGGTTAAATTATACTTTTTAAAGATGAAATAATAACCCTTTGAGATAACTTCATAAATTGATCATAAAATGTTATGATTGATCATAACATTTAAAAGGTATAATTTAACATCAAAACATAATAATTTTACATTTAAAAATTGTAATTTCTATCATTTTTTCAATCATAATTTTTACCTCAAAAAAATATAATATAACCTCAAAATATTATAAATTTCGATACGATAAAATACTGTATCCGTCTCACAGTATTCATGCCACAACAATTTAACCCTTTTGATGTGTGGGTTCCCTCTATTTGAGCTAGAGGTCTTGGTTGATTTATTTGTAACTAGCGATAGCGATGGTAGTAAAAAAAGTCAAATAATGGAGCAAGAAATTTTTTGTGTATTATATTTTCATCTAATGAAAAAGATTGTATGATGTCAAAAAAATTGTTGGTAAACGTATAACATATTGCGGAAGCGTAAGATTAAAGACATACCTTATTCTCTTTAATTCAAAAAAAAAAAAAACGTTTGAGGATGTTCCACGTACTTTAGAATCTAAAAATCATGTTTTATTCGATTGTTTGAGCAGTATGGTGTTGTTACACAATAGGAATTAACACCGAATTTTCACAGCACAAAAGTCTTTTAATGTTATGTAGGGGGAGAGAGAAATAAAGTATGAGACTTTAACATTTGAGTATTTGTCAGAAGATCTCTCATCTATTGGATTGCCTTAGGTTTATATAGTCAACCAATAACTGTTATTAAGAGACACATCGTATAGGGACATGTCTATTAATATTTAATAGACATGTATTTTGGATGCTAAATGATACCTCTTGGTAAATGATACCTCCAAAAGACATGCCTCTTTGGGCATTCTTTAATTTGGGTCGACTCACCATGGCGCCCCGGTTCAGGTCCATGACCTAACCATATCTAACATCTCCCACTTGCACATAGTGTGTACGATACTGTCATCTCTCTCAATCCATTATATACATCAACATCAATTGATATAGGTTAACGGGCCGTGCGACCGCTGACAAACTTGCAATTTGGGAGCTGTACACTAGAAACTCTATAGAGCTAGCATAGAGACATCAACCCAAATAAAAAAAAAAAAAAGAAATGGTGTTTCAAGTACTCTAGTCCCATTTGGAATACCGGTTCAAGCATCTCTAATCCTTCATAATATAAGAACATGTATAATCCCTCGAATCTTTCGCCTATACATTCACACTTTGTCACTATATAAACTAGCGCCCAAAGTTGTCAACAGTGAATATATCGCAGGATGTTCCAAATAGTCTTCCTTTCGCCCTCATGTCCCTTCGTTCAAAATTAACCGCTTACCCAGCAAAGCCCCGGAAGGCTGAATCACTCATGATTGTAATTAACAAGCCAAAGTAGTTGAGCATTGATTCTTTCACTTTATGACATAGTCAAAAGTCAGAGAGTACATAGAATGTTTGGTTAAACAAAATAACCTGGTCATGTAAAAATGACTCAGAGGGCTCACACAGTGAGGAAGCAGGGATCCATTCCTTCACCTCCTTAATTGTCGCCAAAGACATGTAGTATGAAATACATGTTATGGTGGAGTGTCTCGACCCTAATGAGAACGTATATCATATTCAGACACCATACATATCTTAGTCTAGTCGCTTTACAAGCGTCTAACCTGAGTTCTCTATTTGCTCGCCCTTCAACGATGCCAAATTATGATCTCGCATCTGGCTAATCAACAAACATAGGTATAATGGACATAGAGTTGTGTCCATTATCGATCCTCAAATGTCAGATTTCATTCTGTGTACAAAACAGAGCGATACTATATGCTAGAGTATCTCATCTTTGCTTGCCATATCAAGTGCCTAAGGTGATTGCTCGTGTGAGTGAGCCAATCACGCCCGCTAACATACTTAATGTGTGTGCATTCTCAAATATCAAGGTAATCAAGCAATATAACATTTAATTGCAATTAAAACTATGTGTTAATATCCCAAAAATGTCAGTACAAATGACTGTGTGATCCATACAATCTCTAGCACATAATCAATACCTATGAAATCCTAGAGTTCTACCATGAGTCATATACACATCTCTAGCTATAGGCTTAGTTTGGGGGTCTGCAACTATCTGAGTTGTAGGTATATGTTTCAAGATTATTTCTTTTTGTGTAACCATGTCTCTGATGTAATGATATCTTAGATCTATGTGTTTGGTTCTTCCATGATACTTAGGATCCTTAGCATAAGCTAATGCAACCATGCTATCACAATGAATCGTCACTAATCCCAAGGTATTTGTGACAACTCCTAGATGTTGAAAGAACCTTCTTAACCAAGCAGCTTCTTGTACAACAGCAGAACAAGCCACGTATTCTGCTTCTATGGTGGATAAGGATATGCATGATTGCTTTTTACTACTCCATGTAATGGCCCCACCATTAAGTAAGAAAGCATATCCTGATGTGGACTTGCGTTCATCTATATCACCACCCCAATCAACATCACTATAAACAACCATCTGTAAATCTGGAGACTTGTAGCATAACATATAAACTAAAGTCCCCTTGAGATATCGTAATATCCTTTTGACTGGCTTCCAATGAGCTATTCCAGGATTTGACTGAAATCGACTAACTAGGCCTACCACATAGCAAATTTCGGGACGGGTACATATCAAAGTGTACATTAAGCTACCTACAACACTGGCATAGGAACAATTCATTCAATCAATAGTGTCTTGGAGTTTTATTGATTCGTAGGAAGTGAGGGACTATTGTGGATATGTTAGGCCCAAGCATACCCCGTGACAAGTCTAAGGTGTATCAAGAACCCACTACCACATCTGCACTCAACCTAGTCAAACCAAATACTTTACACTATGAGGAAGAATGAAAGAGAGTCGATTTCACATACTCAAGAGAAAGGTCCCCTTGGATTATCCAATAAAATGCTTAGCTACTCATAATAAAGGTAATGCCCAAAATGAAGTAAAGGAACATGGTAGAGAAATGGAACATTGAACTTGTATTAATGCAAGAAAAGAGTTAAACTATAAGAGAGTGCATTTAATACCCATTTGAAAAGCTTGAGAAGAAAAACTTAAATACAACAATGGTAGATTCAAAGATTCATAACTAAACTTGAAATACACTTGAAATAAAGGACATTAAAGTGAAATAAACGAAGATTACAAGAGGTTTACAACTTACTACAAATGAAATGGGTAAGAGAAATGCAAAAGACCAACTTTTCTCTCTAAAACTATGTCTTCTTCCTTGAGCTTCTCTCTCTATATTGCTTCCCTAGCTGAATAATGGTGTAAAGATGGTAGTGAATGGTGTAATTTTCGTCCATGGACCTCTTATAGCTTGTGTGAGAGGCCTCCCATCAATAGGGGCTGAGTTAATGGCTTGGATAAGCTAGGACAAGCCTAGCCTGCACCTACAATGTCTCCTTCCTTCTCTCTCCTCCTTTCCCATCCTCCCTCTACCATAGCTAACTTTAGGGTGTAGGTACGCATGTATATAAGTAGAAAATATCAGGGGATGTGTGGAAGAATCCTAGGTGGGACCCCCAAGTGGCAAAGCTTGAGTTGCAGGTATCTGGCATTTTTTAGCAAAACCTTTTGGAAGTTTTTGGCAAGGCCAGAGGTAGAAGCTATCCAGTGTGCAAACCTTCCAGAAGGTTGAAGCAAAACCTTGGGGAAATTTTTTTTCCAATACGCAAATCCTTCTGAAAGGTTTTGGCAGGGGCATAGGTAGAAGTTGTCCAGTGTACAAACCTTCCGGAAGGTCTATGACCAAACCTTCCCAAAGGTTTTCTTCTGATTTGCCTTTTTCATGATTTCTTCGCCCTCCAAGCCTCCCGTTAAGCCACCCTCCATCTCCATTGACTTTGAGCACTACAATGGGGGCTTAACTCAAGCCATATCCTATTTTTTTTTACCTAAAATCACACAACTTCATTAATTGTTTGATTAATTGCATTTCTTCACATTTTCACCACTAAAACAAGTTTAAAAGGGTATTAAAGCATACATGATGTGCAATATTTTGTGCTAATCACACTACTTATAAGACCATTCTTAGTATGTCTCCCTATAGGCTAGTCTAGGCATGGCATGCCACTTGCCAATGGAGATGTAACACAAG